ATACCTTAGCAAAAGGGAGGCTTCCTCACAGCATGGCAGAGAGCATTGCTAAAGGAGTCTCTAAAGCTGGTCAAGCGCAGTAACTTCTGCATTACTCATTGCGAGAGCACTCAGTCTGAAAGAGGAAATGAAAACACAGTCTCACAAGCACTTCCTATATGGATTTTGTTAAAACTCTCACACATTATTTACTACGCCTTAATGAGTTTAGGCTTTGGTTCCTCAGCAACCTAGCATTGTGGGTTATATACCACTCAGGTTTGGTAGTGAAGTGGCACAAACCGAAGCCCGTGCTGATAAAACAGAACCCCAAAATCCAGCATGAGGCAGGATCCTGACACACTGTGTGCAGGACCAGAGGCCTTCAGAGGGTGAGTCAGAGCCCTCCAGAATACTCAAACTGGAGCATGCCTGACAGAGAAGCCTAAATGAAGGAACATGCTTGAAATGCCACCCTCTCCCTGTGGACTGTCTTGCCTCCCTCCTGAGTTACAAAGTTCAGCTTTCAACTCAGCTCAGCTGTCAAGCCCCCTCCCATGCCATTGCCTCTTCTCCTTCAGTGACAGGCTTGTCCTACGCTTCAGGTGGCCACAGAGCAGCCCTCCAGCTGCTCCTGCTCTGCAGGATTTGGTCCTGAGCTGCCCAGTTTCTGGGTACAGTGATAAGATGGGTGCAAGACACAAAGCAGCTCAGACTTCGGCATGCCTGAGCAGCACAGACCTCTCAGGCCCAAAACAGAAAACCCTGAGTTGTGCAAACAATGATCAAACTTGTTTTGGCACCATGGTTTGGGTGCAGTCATCTCCATTCATCCAGCCTCTTTGCAAGACTGATGCAGCTCCATACATTAAACCCATACACTTAGAAGACAGGCAGAGATTTCCCCACTTTCTGAGACCACAGCTTTCTGCTATCTCATCTACACTATTCTTTATTAACTTTCATGTTTCCCCACTGTGTAGAGGTAACTAATTAGGAATTTCTCTGGGACAGTTCTCTTGACAGCAGGTTGTCAGCAACATGGGCTATGTGACAAAACTAACATTTACATACTTAATGTTTCCTTGGAATCTGATATACAGAATCTGGTGTCCTAACTTCCTAGCACAATTCCTCCCATGACGTCAGTGCAGAACTGGTGGACAATGTATGAGAAGTGATTTCCTCCAGAGTGACATGAAAACCTACATCCCCTTTCTTGAAAGTCAAGCATACTTAGGAACTGCACTGAGGGTTACTTAACTCCCCTGCCACTCATTCTGAGACAGCCTAGCATAAAAGCAGTCACATCATATAATCATAGAATATTTAAAGGTTGGAATAAACCTTAAAGATCATCCAGTCCCAAACTTCAGGGCCATGGGCAGGGACACCTCCCAGTAGACCAGCTTGCTCCAGGCCTTATCCAACCTGGCTTTGAACAATGCCAGTATTGGGGTGTCCAACAGCTTCCCTGGCAAACTGTTCCATTGTCTAAGAACTGATTCATTCTTCTTCCCCCAAATCAGGTACTATTATCAAAAAAACCCATCTTTCTATTGAAGGAACGACATTCTTTCTCTGTTTGTCTGGTTGTGGGTTCTTTGCTGGCACTCTAGGAAGACATTTGCCACTCATGGGGCAGACCTGGGGCTGAGGGTCTCTCTAAAGTCTGTATCTCTAGCACCAGAGATATAAACAACACATAAGAAGTATGCTTATTCTGTTTTAAAAGTCTTTTATTTTTATTATTTTATTTTATTTTATTTTATTTTATTTTATTTTATTTTATTTTATTTTATTTTATTTTATTTAATTTTCAAAGGGAGAACGTGAAGAATGTGCAAACCCACGTCTGTTTCTCTAAACTCACTGACTTTTGCAATTTTCTCTCTCCCGGGGGACATTCACACTTCCTGTCCCCACCTGGATCTAAAGCAAACCTAAGGCCAGGGGCTTTGCTGTAAGCGAGGAGGAGGCTCCAGTTGTTTGCTCTGTTCGCACTCCCCACCTGAGGCTGCCCGGCTGCGGGGCGAGCCCGCGGCCCGGCCCCGGGC